GCCCTAGAGAGTGATGAAGCAATGTGGTCCCATAAAACAAATTGCATAATGGCCATTGTAAAGTACAGGGTTTGGGTTACTTAATATGGACAGACGTTTGCCAGGCTGCTTAAAATTGCCAGGGAGCCAAGGAATATACGAGAGAAGCAAAACAGTTTGATTTTTTTTCCCTTCAGTATCTACATTTAACCACAATTATGTTGATTACTGAGTGAATTTCTTTTCATTTATAGGTGGAGCTGGCCCTCTGGGATACAGCTGGGCAAGAGGATTATGACAGGTTGCGGCCCCTCTCTTATCCTGATACAGATGTTATTCTCATGTGCTTCTCCATTGACAGTCCAGATAGTTTAGGTAAGGCTATAAAATAACAGTTCAAATTACAAGTCAAGAATAGTCAGCATATACTTTCCTATGTATTGCTACAACTCCCATTCTGTCTGAAGTAGTCACCATGCAATCTGAAGCTGCTGCTTTGTTCAGTAAAGCAGGAGATGAACAATTCTCTGCTGGACAGCCTTACCATCACAGTCAACAATATTGTATTAGAGTGACTAATGTTCTTCGTATGTCTAAGTATTCTTCAAAGCCCAAATGATTTCCTGGAGATAGTATTGGATGTTGTATGTAATTGAATGTAATTGACTTTACTGAATTGTAAAGGAAAATAAGAAAAAATTATAAAGCACATAATGCTTTGGAAAGGGCTAAAAAGCTATGATAAACTTCCATTGGAACTGGTGAGGCTTTGCAGAGTTCTTGCTAAGTGCAATGTATGAAGGCCAATATATCCTCCTTAAGTCAGGATAGGAAGAGTATTGATGCTTTTGAACTTTGGTGTTGAAGACAATTGAGAATACTGTGGACAACTGATAAATGGACAACAAATGGATCACTGAACAAATCAACCCAGAGTTCTCATGAATGATCAGGCTCAAATTATCCTACTTCAGACACATTATGCAAAAAACTAGCTCTCTGGAAAAGGCTCTAATGCTGGGAAAGGTGGAAGGAAAGAGAAGAAGAGGATGACCAGCAGCAAGGTGGATAGACTCAGTTGCAATGGCAATGAGTGCACTGTTGGAAGACCTGAAGACCAGGTTAGGGACA